ATAAACAAATGTACAATAAACAAAATACACACACACACACACACACACACACACAAATGGAAACCAATCAGAAGATATAAATGAACAAGAGACTTCCTTTTATAAAAGGCAGAAAACGTAATATAATTAGAAATAAGTTTAAAAAATTCAATATCTACATGAAGATATCTTTGAAATACTCCTGAGGGAACAAAAGAAGATGTGAACAATTGGGAGAACATAACATACTTTTGAGCAAAAAGATATGTCATTCTCCCTAAAAGATATTTCATATAATCCTAATAAATAGAGCAAACATTATACTCAATGGTGATAGACAAAAAGTTTTTCCTCTGAGATAAAGAATAATAAAAGGACTCCTGTTTTCTCCACATCTATTCAACACACTACTGAAAATTCTAGCCAAAGCAAGGCAAGAAAAAGAAATAAAAGTCATCCAAATTGGAAAGGAAGAAGTAAAATTATCTTGAATGTAACTACATTACTTAACACAAGGACTTCTGTCTCAACCCCAGAGCCCACATCATTCTTTATGGGTTCTGTGGAAAACAGTATGGTGGTTCCTCAAAAAATCAAAAATAGAATTACCGTATAATCCATCAATTTCACTTCTGGGAATATACCCAAAAGAATTGAAAACAGGGTCTCAAAGAGATATTTGTACACACACTTTTATAGCAGCATTTTTCACAGTAGCTAAAACATGGAAACAACCCAGTGTCCAACGATAGATGAATGGATAAGCAAAATGTAGTATATACATATAATGAAACATTATTCAACCTTAAAAAGGAAGAAACTCTTCAATATGCTACAACATGGATAACCTTGAGGACATTAGGCTAAGTGAAATAAGCCAGTCACAAAAAGACAAATGCTGTGTGATTCCATTTATAAGACATACCTGGAGCAGTTAAAATCATAAAGACAGAAAGTATAATGGTGGTTTCCAGGGACTAAGGAGAGGGGATAATAGGGAGTCGTTGTTTATTGGATATAGAGTTTCAGTTTTACATGATAAAAGGAGTTATGGGGATGGATGGTGATGATGGTTGCACAACAGTGTGAATGTTTTTAACACCACTGAATAGTACACTTAAAATGTCTAAGATGGTAAGTTTTGTTTTGTATATCTTACCACAATAAAAAAAGAAAAATAAATGGCATTTCCTCTTTAAGGGAAGAGACCCAGCTTCCTATCACCTTAAACCTGTCAGAATGACTAAAATCGAAAACCCAAGAAAAAATAAGTGTTGGCAAGGTTGTGGAGAAAAAGAACCCTCATGTACTATTGTTGAGGATGCAAACTGGTGCAGCCACTATGGAAAAGAGTATGAAGGTTCCTCAAAAAATTAAAAATAGAATCCCTATATGATCCAGTACCTCCACTACTGGGTATTTACCCAAATAAAACAAAAATTCAAAAGGTATATGTGCCCTATGTTTATTGCAGCATTATTTACAATTGCCAAGATAAAGAAGCAATGCAAGTTTCCAAAAATAGATGAATGGATAAAGAGGCTGTGAGATAGAGATAGGTAGATGATTGATAGATACATACATACATACATACATACACAGATAGATACATAGATACATAGATGATAGATGATGATGATGATGATAGATAGATAGATAGATAGATAGATAATGGAATATTACTCAGCCATAAAGATAATGAGATCTTGCCATTTGCAACAACGTGGATGGACCTAGAGAGTATAATGCTAAGTGAAATAAGTCAGACAAGGACAAATACCATACAATTTCACTCATATGTGGAATTTAAGAAACAAAACAAACAAAGAGAAAAAAAGGAGACAAACAAAAAACAGACCCTTAAATACAGAGAACAAACTGGTGTTTTCCAGAGGGAGGTGGGTAGGGGAATGGGGGAAATAGATAAAGGGGATTAAGAGTATTACTCATCGTGATTAGCACTGAGTACTGTATAGAATTGTTGAGTCATTATCTTGTACACTAGAATTAATTAATTATATATAACACTATATGTTAATTATACTTCAATAAAAAATTAAACAAATGATACTTCCAAAATAAAAGGATAATTTCACATTATAAATAAATAAATAGCCATTCCACACCCAGGCAATTACCCAAAGGAAATGAAAATGAAAACATATGTCCACACAAAGACTTGCACATAAATGTTCATAGCAGCTTTATTTGTGATAAACAAAAACCAGAAATAATCCAAATGTCCATTAACAGCTGGATGGATAAATAATTTGTGGTATATCCATAAAATGGAATACCACTTAGCAATAAAATGAATTACTGATACATGCACTGACACAGATGAATCCCCAAATAATCATGCTGAGTGAAATAAGCCAGACAAGAATACATACTATAGGCTTCCATTTATCTAAAATTCTAGAAAATGCACTAATCTATAGTGACAGAGCAGACCAGTGGTTCCCTGAGGATGGGGATGGAAAAGGGAAAGATGGATTGCAAAGAGACATGAGGAAACTTCAATGGTTGGTAGACATGTTCATTATGTTGATTGTGATGATGGTTTCACAAGTGTATTCATACGTCAAAACTTATCTAGTCATACACTATAAATATGTATGCTTTCTTATGCAACTCATACCTTAATAAAACTGTAAATAAATAGAGTATTAGGTTACAACCCATTGAATAAAATAGGAAATCTGTGAGTCAATAATATGAATGAGTGAATAAACCGATAGATGATAAATAGATAGATGATAGATTATATGATTGATAGATAGATAAAAGATGCATAACACCAAATATTACTATGTAACTGGTGGAAGTGTAAATTGAAATAGCCACTTTGGAAGACTCTTGGGCAGTATCTGCCAAACCCAATAAAGCAAGGTATTCAGGAGTGTGTACAACACACTATCATTTGTAAAGAAAGGGGAGTATGTATATGCATATGTGTCTATACATCTCAATGCGTGGTGGGTGTTATCTGCTAATTTGCAGATCCTCTCCAGCTCCAGAAAGATTCCAAGAAATGGCTGGTGTGATGCTTAGTGCATCCAGAGGGGGCATCCGAGTGGTTGAGAGATGGGAGTAGAAGACAGAACTTTCTCCGTAGTCCCTTTGTACCTTTTAAATTTTGTGCCTTGTGACTGTATTACCTTTTCCAAAAAAAAAGAGTTTAATGATTCTTTTAAAACCAAAAAGAACCCTTCTCTAAGGAACAACTATTCTCTGACCTCACCTCCCACCACTTCTCCAGCTCACCCGTCTCCACTGAACTGAGCCACTCACCCTTTCCAGGAAGGGGCAGCCAGTGTCTGTCCCGTACACCTGCTTCGTTCCATACACCTATCCCCCTCTGAGGTGCCTCTTTTGTCCCCCAGTAGGGTTGTCTACCCCTGACTCTCTTTACTACTGCAGAGTGTACTGCCTACACCGTGTCGTGAACAGGCTTCAAACATTGCCACTTCCTTCATGAGCTCGCGCCCCTACTGTGGGGGGAATTTCTGCCTCCTTTACAGGGACAACAGAAGCAAAGCCTAGAGAAGAATGTGTCTCACTGTGGGGTCACAGAACCTCTCTCCTGAGCAGCAGCACAGGGGCTGCTCCTGGCTCTGGCAGCTGTGTGGGAAAAGACAGTTTCCTGAAATAGTTCATCCCTGCCTGACTCAGGAGTTGTCCCCAGACCTTTTTTCTAAGGCCTCCACTGGCCAGGGCAGATCCGTTGGTGGGTCGACTGGAGGGCAGAGGCAGCGGACTTTGACAGAGTGACCCTCTCAACCAGGGACTTTTTTAAAACTCAATCCTCCTCCAGAGGCCATCAATGGCCCTGGGAAATGTTCCTCATGAGATTTTAGACTATTGTCATTCCCTCTTGTATAATTCTGAGCTATACAAAATTTCCTTTGGCCTCTGTGCAATTGGTGTGCAGTCCTTAGGACTGTCTGGGGGAGCTTCCCCCAAGACTCTGAGGGAGGCTTGGGCCAAAAGAAAAGCCACCATCTAATAATTTGGGGACTTTCTGCTAAGATGACTATGACCCCAAAATCTGGGCTCTGAGACTCCCTTGCCTTGGTGGCAGCCTAGTACCGAAGCCTCAGGGGGTACCGTCCTAGGCTGTAAGGACAGCTAGCATCACCTGCTTCCCATCTCCCCCCACTCTCCTTAGATCACACGAATGTGGAAATAGGAGGAGACCTTGGAAACTGTGTAAGGCCCACCCAATCTCTCTCCATCTCCCCATTTTACAGATGAGAAGTTGGAGCCCAGAAAGCAAAAAGACTTGCCCAAAGAAACAGCAAGTTGTAATGGCAGAACTAATTCTGGGACCTACACTTCCCGACTCTTCTTCTCCACTCTTTTTCTCCCTTCTTTTCTTCTATTGCTGAGGTACTGCAGCCTTGAATGTGATAACAAACACCAGTCAGTTGAGAAAATGCCTTCCTTTTGGCCTGCAACCTCCCTCCTTCTTCTGACCAATCAGGCCTTACCCTGAATACTCTGTGTTTGACTTCTATCTGGGGCAAAGGCATGTTACAGTTTACAGGGCCCTGGGGGTGTGCCAGGAGAATCCAACCAGAGTTTCCAGCTTGCATAACCTGTGCACGTCCCAGGGACAGAATGAGGCCAGCACATGCCCATGAGTCAGCTCTGTCCCAGCACTTGGCCCCCATGAAGCTGTGACCTGAGACATATCTGTCTCCGCCTTTCCCACTCCTCTCTGAAATGATCAGCACTTTCTGCCTTCAACTGACAGAGCACCCCGGAACTCAGGACACTAGCACCACCTGTGCCTCCACCCCCCATAAAACTTGTTGAAGAGCCTGTAGGGCTAAAAGAGCTGAGCCCTCCGGAGGTATTCCATACACCCTCCCCCATCCTGGCAAAGAAAAAATTGACAATGAGGACACAGGGAACAAAGTCCTGTCACAGGAGGAAGAGAGACTCCTGTCTGCAGTGACTGCAAAGAGAGAAAAGGCCAACGCCCCAGCGGAAGCGCCACTCAGAGTCAGTCTGTCATGGATGTCCTGGTCCGACTCCTGCAGCTGCTGGTGCTGCTCCTGACCCTGCCCCTGCACCTGATGGCCCTGCTGGGCTGCTGGCAGCCCCTGTGCAAAAGCTACTTCCCCTACCTAATGGCGGCACTGACTGCCAAGAGCAACCAAAAGATGGAGAGTAAGAAACGGGAGCTCTTTGGCCAGATAAAGAGGCTTACGGGAGGCTCCGGGAAGGTGGCCTTGCTGGAGCTGGGCTGCGGCACTGGTGCCAACTTCCAGTTCTACCCAGCTGGCTGCCGGATCACCTGCCTGGACCCAAACCCCCACATGGAGAAGTTGCTGACAAAGAGCATGGCTGAGAACAGGCATCTCCAATATGAACAGTTTGTGGTGGCTTCCGGAGAGGACATGAAACAACTGGCCGACGGGTCCATGGACGTGGTGGTCAGCACCCTGGTGCTGTGCTCTGTGCAGAGTCCGAGGAGGGTCCTGCAGGAGGTCCAGAGAGTGCTGAGGCCGGTAAGCAGAAGGGAGAGGGAATGGGCAGGGGGCAGGCAAAGGCGAGCAGTGGCCGCTCCAGAAAGGAGAATGTGCTGTACTAGTGCATAGACACCCACCCACCCCCATCTGCTGGTGAAGAGCAAATAGGACCAGGGCTTCGACGGGGCAGAATAGGATGCTGTGGAAGCACACAGGAGAGCCACCTTACGCGGCAGTTGTTTGGGAGGTAGGGGAAGATGGGAGGGGGGGAGAAGGACACCTAAGGAAGTGAGGTTTTACATTGAGATCTGAGAGATTAAGCAGGTTGTGAAGGAGTGGGGAAAATAAAAGAGTGTTCTAGATAGAGATATTAGGGGAAATAGAATCTATAAGATTTTGAACTGAGCGTGGAAAGGAGTTTAGGATGGTTTCCAAGTTTCTGGCATGAGTGACTGGTGGAGGGAGGGAGGCTAGAGGGAAGTGTCATTTGCTGAAATGGGAGAAACCTATTTGGGGCTTGTTAGGCCTGAGATGCCACTGAGACAGCCTGGAGGAAAAGTCACAGAGGCGGTTAGAAGTCCAGATCTGGAAGTCAGAAAAAGGTGTAGCCTGAAGATAGTGATCTGGAAGTCACCAGCTTGTAGCTGGTAAATTCAGAGCACAGGGGTACATGAGATCACTCAGAGAGGGTTCAGCAAGGAGACAAGAGCTGAAGGAACCCCAGTGTTAGAAGTCAGGCGCAAGGTTTCCCTGGGATGTTGGCCAAAGGAAGAGGTTGGGTGTACGCATCTGAATTTTGGAAGTGAGCATCTCTGTACACAGTGAGATCTCTGCTCTAGTCTCTCCATCTCACCATCTATCTGCCCTTGGCTAGGTTGTTCCTCTGGCCGTCTTTTAAAGATCTCTCACCAGTCATCCCCACTGGGAGGTTCCTTACATGCACTTTTGAGTGGGAGGGTGGGAGCCAAAGTCTGCAGAAAAAGTCAGGAGCAGAACAATTCCCCTCATAAACTTGCAGACCAGCAACCCCTGCTTCACCAAGAGGCTTGACCAGGTTTGGTCAGCAGGGTGGGGGTGAAGTGAGAGGAAGGGTGCGGAATGGAGCAAGTGACACTAACTCTTCTCTCCCAGGGAGGAGTGTTCTTCTTCTGGGAGCATGTGGCTGAGCCCCGTGGCAGCTGGGCCTTACTGTGGCAGCAAGTTTTAGAGCCTACTTGGAAACACATTGGGGATGGCTGCTGCCTCACCAGAGAGACCTGGAAGGATCTGGAGAGTGCCCAGTTCTCTGAACTCCAAATGGAACAACAACCCCCTCCCTTCAAGTGGTTACCTGTTGGGCCCCACATCATGGGAAAGGCTATAAAATAACCCTTCCCCAAGCCCTACCTCCAGCCAGAGCAATCCCACCTACCTGCTAAGTCTGTCTTCCCCAGAGAGAAATCTAGGCAAAGAAGTCATTCCCCCCACCACCCCCTCTTCCTCCTTCCCTCCACCTCTGCCAGGAGTCTAACTTCGATTCTTCCTTCCAAAGTGAAAAAGCTCTGGGGCGCCAGCCTGGCTCAGTCAATAGAGCACGTGACTTTTAATCTCAAGGTCATGAGTTCAAGCCCCACACTGGGTGTGAAATCTACTTTCAAAAAAAATGAACAAAGTGAAAGAACTCCATTCCCACCCTGACCACAGGGAGGAAAGTGATATTCTCTCCTTTCCTAGACTGGGTCTCCCAATTTTTGCCCACCCACTCCTAGGGCAGTTCCCTGTCCCTTTCCTTTGTTCCCACAGTAGAGCTCCCCCTCCTCTCTGTCTGAAGCACGTACCTCCAGGGACTGGTCACGAAAGTCATGATACATGCACCCCGCCGGCCCCCCAACCCTCCCTCCCACTACCAGCTTTGTCTGGAGCTGGAGTGGGGGGTGCAGAGAGAAGCAATCTTACCCTGGAGATCCTGGACAAGGGGGAGCAGGACTCAGCAAAGAAGTCAGAGGTTTTGTCCTCAAATATTGTTTAATAAATAGATAAAATCCACTAGATTGATGCAGCAAACTAAGGTCAGAGAGGGGGAACTAGGGAGAGAAGAACCCCTGAGTCGGCAACACAACCTCCTCTCCAACCCTCTGGGTTTAAGGCACTTTCAGGGGGACAGGTCCTTGGGGTCCTATTAAACAAGGTGAATGGGAGAAGGAGGGATTAGGGTCCCCTCTCCCACTTTTGCATCAGGACCTCACTGCCCTTCTCCCCCGACCCCCACAACCCCATTCTTGATCTGCCCTCATCTCACAGTGTTCTAAGGGGAAGTGTGTTCTAAGGGGAAGTTTTGGGAGGTGCTCCTTGTAGGGGGTGGGGGGAGACATCTACGCCCCTGAGGAAACAGATCCTGTCACAACCTGATGGGACTCCAGCAACCCACTCTACCCTCTTCATCCCAAGGAGCCATATCTGGGGAAAGGGTGGAGGGGACCCACAGGCCAGGCTGGGACGGAAGCAGCTAGGCGGTGCCTGACACGGGATGCCCCTCTGAGCCTGGCTCAGGGTGCCCATCCGCAGCCAGGATGGGGTGTGCATCGGGGCCCTCCCGCCGGGGGCTGCCCCAGTTGTTCCTCAGGATGGTGCCCGTCTTCTCCTCTTTGAACTGCTGTCGGTCTTCCCGCGGGATCTTCACCGCGTGGTACTGGGGCACGGTGGCCTCGGGGTACCGTGCCCGCTTGAAGAATCCCATCTGTAAGGACACCAGGCCCAATGTGAGGAGTGTGCAGGGCTGAGGTCCCTGGAGCAGACATCAGCACAGCACAGAGCCTTGCCTCCACCATCACTGGGACAGAAAGTACCAACTACGGCTGAAAGGGGTTGCGTTGGACAGCATCCAGTGCAGTGCGCGGCCCCTGCAGGTGCCACAGTCAATGCGGGGTCCCCAGGTCCTCACTCACAGAAAGAGAAAGACCAGGAGGGGCCAAGGGTGCAGGACCAAGGACATATCCCTTGGCTCCTGGAAGAGGGAGTTGAAGATGGAACGTCAGGACCGCTGACCCCACCCAAACTTTTTAAGAGACCCAATAGCATGCCCCAGGACATAAACGAGATCTGAGGCAAAACATCGCTCCCTAGACCCCTGCATACTTGGAATGACTTCTCTCGAGCCTCAGATGCACACAGCCCGAGTACTCAAATGGCATCTTCCTCAGGGCAGGGCCCTCTCATCCATGAATATGGTGGCCTAGCCCCTTCCTACATCGTGAACATGCTGGCCCTTACACACGAAAGTGGAAATGTGTCCCTTGCACACTCACACTCAGGACTGCCTGAGACTCCTACATGCTCCAACTGCACGGCATGTCCTTGCATGTTTGTCTCTGCACACCCATGCCCACAGAAAAGCCATGCACGAACCTTCCTGCACTCCCACATGCTCATATGCTGGGAGCCCACCCACCCCTCTGCGCATGCCTCAGGCTATGTATACTCACCCTTATAATCTCACCCTTATGATAACCGCCCACCCCAGTTCCTAGAACTCACACCACCCTCATGCAATCTCAGTTCTTCACCCTGCACATTCTTGGTCCCCTGAATGCCGGGGGCTCTACTCACAGTTACACACACATACACACACACACACACACACACACACACGCACACGCGCACACGCACACACATGCGCACACACAATTACCCCGCAGTCCCTGGGCCCCCAGCTTCCACGGCCGAGGGCTGCACAGCCAGACGGGCCCGGTGATAGTTGGTGGGAAAAGACGAGCTCTGGCTGCTCCGATGGAAGAAGCCACACTGGGATGTCAAGGGGGGGAAGGGAGCAAAAGAGGTGGAGGATGGGAAGACTCAAGAAGGATGGAGGCCCTTATCTCTGCTCTGTCCCCCTCCCATGAAAGCAGGGAGCAGGGAGTCTGGTGCCAGTTTCATGAAGGTATCCATCTCCCCTAAGACTGGCCAGGCTCCCAACAGTTTGGATGCTAATCCAGAGGCCTGGTCCACTGATGACTCACATTTGCCCAACAGTGTGCTTGGTCAGCAACTGGTCCAGGGATGACTAGGGTCAGTCCCCCATGGGGCCCCAAGAACATGCATGGTTCCCCAGAGCCCCATTGTGGCATGTGGTTCAGGGTATGACCACTGATGGTGGATGTGATTCTGTGTACTGACATGTGCATGTGCATGCTTTTACATGGAACCCCAGACACAAATGTGATTCCATCTATACTATGTACGAAGACAGTTCCAGGTACAGCCTGGTATGTAGAGGCTCCGAGCTCAGTCCTGGAGGTAGTCCCTGGAGGTAAGTGTCACCTGCTGTGCCTTCTGTGTCACAGTTCCCTTCTCGGCCTTACCTGCCAGGCTCCAGTGAGATCAGACCACACTTCCCTGCCTCTATGACTTTGCCTCCCGTGATCCCACCCACCTCATCCCCCACACCCACATCCTACAACCGCACCTTCTTCTAAGCCAACTGCTCTCGAGCTCTCTCACCTCTGAATTCCCACTGCACTGTCTTGCCTTAGCACCTTCTGCCTTGTCCTTAACTACAAGGCTCACCTCCCCCACTAGACTGACTCTCAAATCCTTGAGGCCAAGATCTGCATCTGACTTCTCTCTGAGATGCCCAAAGCCTGAGAGAGTCCCTGGCACATACAAGTGTTGAGCGCAGGCTGGCTGAACAAATGAGAGTGTGGCTGGGAAGGAGAACCACAGCATGAAAGGCCACCTGCCTGGCAGGGAAGACCCCCCAGCCCCACCCCCCTGAGCCTCACCTTCCACATGAGCAGCACCAGCAGCGCCAGCACCAGAAGCCCGGCCAGTACAGCCAGGAGGATGACCCACCAGGGGACTCCTTCTGCCACCACAGCCACAGGGTCCAGGTAAACCATCACTGGGATCTGGGGAATGAGGGGTTAAGAGAATAAGAGGTGGCACAAAGGGAAAGAAGAGCTTCCTCACCCCAACATCCCCAGGCCTGCATCTCACCACTGTGGAGGCGTCTCTGAGCAGCAAGTTCTTGATAGAAGACTTCACAGTGATGTTCGCTCGCACAATCACTTCCAGGGACTTCACAGCTGAGTACTCCTAAGGGAGCAGGGAAGGACAGCCTCCTCCTGAATGCCCCATGCCCCCCATCTCCCCTCCCCCCCCCAGCTCCTGAATTTGTAAATGGAAGGGTCCCCAGCCCAGAGAGTATTTCTGTCTGTCTTGGGTTAAGAGTGTGCTGTATTTCGGGAGAAGGCAGAAGCAGCGGTGAGTCCCAGACAGACTGCTGGGGAAGAAGACACCAGTCCGGCACCCCCACAGGGCTCTTACCTCCAAGAAGGTGCTGTTCCAGAGGCGGCCCCAGACGTGCAGCACAGCAGCTCGGTCAAAGCTATATAGAGGGCAGCTGAACACCACACAGTTGGCAGTGCCCCGGACACAGTCCTAGGGACAAGGACAGGCAGGGCTCTGAGCCACTTGGCCCCAGCCCTCTGAGCGTACGGAGGGCCCAACACCCTCACATATGTGGTCACACAGACACAGAGTCTGCCCAGAGCCTTCACTCCATCCCTCCATGAGCTCCCACACCTTGGACCCCCTTTTCCCCTTGTTCCTCACTCATGTCTCTCCCATTTTCCTTACCCGACCTCAAACTCACCTTCTCCAGGAAGTCTTCCCAAACTAACCCCATGGTCCAAAAGAGCAGCCTACCCCAAATCTGGTCTATCTGGCCTTGAAATACGTGGAGAGCAGGGAGGGGGTCTCTTACTTGACATCAGCAGCAGAGTAACTTCCCCAATGAATGCTTATGTTATATAACAATGGCTCCCTTTACTGAGCACCACTTACCTGCAAGGTACTTATTAAAGCTTCCAACTGTCCTGCAAGGTGCATATTATTATCATCCCCATTTTCCAAACTAGGGAATTAAAGTTCAAAGAGGCCAGGTACAGGACTCCTGGCTGGCTCAGTCAGTGGAGCATGCAACTCTTGATCTCGGGGTCATGAGTTCAAGCCCCATTTTGGGTATAGAAATTACTTTTTAAAAAAAAGAGGGGGGTACCTGCGTGGCTCAGTCCGTGGAGCATGCAACTCTTGATCTCAGGGTTGTGGGTTTGAGCCTCACACTGAGCTTGGATATTACTTAAAAATAAAATGTTGGGGCGCCTGGGTGGCTCAGTCGGTTGAGCGACCGACTTCAGCTCAGGTCATGATCTCATGGTT